GGGGAGCAGACGCTTCCCAGATAGAGGCGGACACAGGTCGACATACAGATCGTGCAGTAGTCAACACGACCACGTGCATAGTCCACGCCAAATCTCCCCCGTCCCCGTCCCCCGGCCGCCCCCTCCGATGCATCAACGTGGGCTACAATAACGCAGCACCACGTCACGGAACCTCAAAATATTTCGGGGGTGTAGGGCAGCTGTGCCACGGCATTTACTACACGCCCTGTGACAACAACAAACAAAAACATGCCGCCGAAACAAAAAGGGGACACGCTTGATCTATTGATGAGCACACATCGGAACCCTCTTCAGAGTTCCCGATTCGCCGTTTACTTACGTAAGGCAAAACAACGAAAATTGTTTACCCTTGTCGATGCACTCTAAATGACCCCACCTGCTTCTTGAGCTCGTCCTGGGAGGCCATGCTGAGCACCGAACCTCTGCCGGCGTCCGCCGATGACCGCACCGCCGACGTCGGCAGCGAAGAAGACACCCTCCACGCGCTGCTGCCGGCTCTGCGAACGTTGGAGGGCGCTAACACAAACCCCTGCGTTATTTTCCGAGGTTATCATCATGCCAGAAGGGGAATGAGTTTCAGTTTCTACGGTTCCGGGGGGGGGTTGTCGGGCGTACTAGGATGGGCGTGGGGGCTGCAGGACGGAGGGGTATCCGTTGGGGTCGGCAAGCATAGGTGCAGCCTGCAGTCCCACAGAAGCGATTTCTGAACACGCAACCCGAGGACACCCCCTGATCTTCCTATTCTACACATCGGCGCTCGCAAAACGGTGTGTACCGCGCGTCCTAAGCCCGTGGCGAATCCGAGCTGTGATTGCTGTCGAAGCGGCAACGGTACGTCCAAAGACAAAAGAAAGACAAGATGGGAAGTTCTACAGCGCACATGGCCACGGGGCTAGGTCCAGCTACATGGCATACTCCGGATAAGCAAAGAAGGGCTACTGCCATGAGTGTCACCACATAAATTTCTCCAGGACAAGTGACGTGGTCGGGTGACCTGTAGGAGACGTGGCTTAGGGGTGTTTGCCGAAGTATTTTATACCATCCGAAACATGCTGCCGGAACGGGACTAGGGCATCTCTTTGATACATGAAAGGCAGTTGAGTTTCCTAAGCGCTGCGGGCAGAGCGCCTGGGCAAAACCCTACGCGGCTTGAGCCGCCCCAGGTCTAACCGGAATCAGGCCTGCCAGGTTTGCCCTAGCCACCAGCTCCTGCTGCGGGGACGTTCGGCTGGCCTTCTTGGGGACATCAGGCGAATGTGCTTTTCACGAAGAGCGTAGATCTCTTCCTCCTCAGCACGCAGCCAGCCATTGTCTCCAGGGAGATGACGCGAGGCGTGGGAGATAGCTCCGACAACTCCGACCCGCTGGAGAAGTGTGGCTGGCTGCGGAACGAGGATGAGGCTAACAACGCTCTTCGTGGAGAACTCATTGGCCTGTTCCAAGTTAACCGGCCAAACGTGCCCGCAGAGGCGGCGGTGGTGTGTGGCAAACGCCGAGAGGAGCCATTGCCGACACGGCTGAGGCCGAGAATACGGGTGTCCCAGGTCCTCTACACCCGCAGGATTTGGGAACCCTGTGTCTTTTCCCGTACCGATGAGCGGTGGGGGCGGGAAAAGGTCTACTACCAAAAGGGATCGATGTTCGTCACTCGCACGTTCGGCCGAAACCAATGAAACACGACTTCCTGAATCAATGTAATGCGGCTTGTTGTGAGTGCTCTTGATGCTACCTACGGGCATCACCTTTGAATGTTGAAAATCCCTGGGGTTCATGTTCCAGAAGACAACGAGGAGTGTTGTGGATATCGCTACACACAATGTCTCGCAGAAACGACGTGTCGGGAGAAAACTGTCATACATGCGGGGTGTTGCCACAGGCAGGGTACTGCTGTAGAACCGATGAGCCACACTGAACCCGCCGCGCACACCTGGCGTGACTCCAAACCTAGCTACTGCATCTCCAAACCAAACAAATCATTGAGCCGCAGAGCGAACCTGGAGAAAACGGTTTCACATAACTGAGGCGGCGTCCCATCGAAGTCGCTGCCGTCGTCGCCGCAGTACAGTATAGAATCCACCTCTTGTGTACACCAAAGATGTATATAAAACTCTACAGGTAAATAACGCAGGCACTCACGGAAGCCGAGCAGCACGACAATGCCACGGTCACCAGGGAGATCAGCTGCATAGTTGTTCTTGACGCGATTCGGGGAGAGGAGAGGAGGGCGGGG